AATAATAATAATAATAATAATAATAGTCAAGCTAGCCACGCGAATCGACAACCAACTATAAGAAAGGAATAAACAAAAGAAGAAGCAACAGCAGTTCAAACCCAATATTGCGAACATGAAGAAACAACGATTTCGCACTAACAAAGACGGAGATACCTTCATAACCAGAAAAGTACACTAGAAGGACAAGAGAAAGAAGTTCCAAAGGAAAAGAAGCCAAGACGGCTTATCTAAAGAAGAACAACAAAAGTAATACAACGACAAAGCGTGTCCCAGATGCGGCGAAGTAGGACACTTCCGCAGAGACTGCCCAAAGAATGACGCAAAGCTAGCTATAGCAAAGGTCAGGATAATCCGACCACGCACGCCGTATCCGCCTTAACTACTGTCGCCTTATTTTAGGCTAGTTGTGAGAATGTACGTGTCACCCCTTAATAAATCAATTGCTCTAAATGCGCTTGCAGAGCTCCCGCGACCATAGAGTCACGCGTTGTGTTGGCGCTAGCGCACGTGACGCTGCCTGTTGGGTCTCAGTATAAAACCCGCCCCGCGACCTCTTCCTCTCCTTTTCTTCTTCAGGTTCCACATCATGGCACGCGGTAAGTATACATCTTTCCTGCTCCTCCCGTCTGTTTTGCCATCTCACTGCGCCTGTCACTTCTTCTTATCATGTCACTGTTGTTGCAGTCTCACCTACACCTCACAATCAACACATTCCCTGTCAATCACATACACCTACAGATTCCCTCTTGACCTATCCCATCACTGCTAGCCACTGTTTCACCCTGAATCCCCGCTTCCATTCACCGTTTCGTTACTAACATCTATTATAGTACAAAATACTTACTACATCAACGTTGGCGGTGGCGGCGGCGGTGGTGGTGGCCGTGGCGTCGTAAGTACCCTTTGTGAATTGATTCTTTGTTTATGAGCAGCAAAACTAATGTGTTTACGCGTAGAAAAAAAACAACAATGACGGTGGTGGCCGTAAGGGCCGCAAGAAGGACCAGTGCTTCCTGTATGTTCATTGTTTACTGCATGTTTGCATGTTCATCGTTGCTAACTATGTGAATCTAGATGTCGTGCCTATGGGCACAAGAAAAAAGATTGCCCGCAGCTCCCTGCTGTTGCTGCTGCTGCTACCAACGCTGCCGCTCAGCAGCCCCGCCCAGCAAAGCCGCCCGCCGCCCCCGTCCCCGCCGTATGCCCGGCCGGGCTTGCATGCCCAGGCGGTGCTCCGTGCCGTGCTGGGCAGCAATGCACAGCACTGAGACCGTGTCCCCAAGGGGACAAATGCGTTTGGGGAGACAGCTGCCCTGCAGCTGACCAGTGTCCGTCGCAGTGCCCTGCGGGCGCGCTGTGCCCTGCCAACTGTCCGGAGGGCTGGCGTTGCCCTAGGCTTCCTAGGGATATGGCGGTGCGTGGTGGCCGCCCTCCTCAGGAGGGCGAGCCGATGGAAGATCAGCAGTCGTGAGGGGGTTGGGGGGGGGGGGTTCAAAAGTCAATTTTTTAGTTTCATGAATGAAAGTCTTCTGATGGTTTCTCAATACAAGTCTCATATCTACTCAATGCTGTGAATGATGGGTGCTGTAGTTGTTCAACTTACTCCACTTTCTTTACTCTTTCAGAATCTCTAAAGTTATTGTTCAGTAAAAGAAGGTTTTGTTGTTATCGAAAGGAGTCAGATCTGCTAAAGCCCGTATCCTAGCAAGCGCATTATTCTACTCCTGCATCTATTGAATTAGGTCAACTCCAGACTTGTGTGTTGTGAGAGAATGGTGAGGTACAAGAGAATTAGTCGCTTGTCGATGTTCGTTGAAGTATCTTTGAGAAATCATGATATTTGTATTCACGAACTTGGTAGAAAGGGGTCATTCAGGGGCAATTCGAGATCCACCTATTCATTGATGAAGTCTTTGAGACATCGCAACTTGCTTCATTCAGGACTATGTATTTAACATGATGTAGAGCTATTTCATTAGCAACCAACCGGGCAAGCAGAAGTGCGGTTTTCATATCGCTACCCAAGACGCAGATGCAGGCATTAGTGCGTCTGATCTCTGCACTGGGCTTGTGGTATCGTATATTTCCCGCCTACTCACTTACATGCCAGGCTGACGAAACCACAAGAAGCATAGCCACTTCAACATGGCGGAAGCTGATGAGAACAATGAGTGCAGGAATAATCTATCAGAACCTGTGGTACTTGATGCACCGTGTTAATCTGAGTTGCAAAGCAAAGTCATAGCCCTACAGATGAGTTCTGCACTACAACCAGACAAGACATGCTTTCGCCTGACCAGCCCAACGCGCATCAGCTCGATCAGTCAAATTTCGTGAAAACGGCATCTTTCTCAGGCGTAGAATTATCATTGTTCTCCCATACGAGTCATTTACAGAGCGAGTACCCGATATTGTTAGTACCCGCGATATACGTGTGCGTCAAATACACGCAAATTCGCCCCTGGAGGGATGACTAAGACGTTCTCACGATTGCAAAGTCAACCGTCAGCAGCTAGCCTGCATCCGAATTCAGTGGCTGTTCAACTGAATTCAATTGCAATCCACCCCAATCACACTTTTTGCCCCATTTTCGTGGTTGTTAGAATGTCGCGACCGCCAAGATCTGTCACGGACGCTCCTGCCATTTGTTGACACTCACCTCCACTCCCAACCGACACCCAGATTTTGCCCCACCACATTCATTCCATGACTTTCTGATCATCGTAATGATCAATGAGGAGAATTCATCTACTGCAAGCTGCGTAGATTACTACAAGCTGCGTAAATTATCACTATATAGATGGGTTGACTCTGGTTGTAGTACTTGTGAAAACATCACTGTGATTAGAACCTCATCGTGAAGAACTACACGACCCTCCAAATTTCTCCTTGCATCTACTCAGTTTATAAATGAACTCAATACTGTATCATTGTTTTCCTTGCATTCCACGATTTGTGTTTCTGAGTGCTGTGCGCTGCAAAATGAGTGATTACGTACCTGAATGTCAACATGCCGTGGAGGGAAGGCACGACTGTTGACAGAGGAAGGTGGTGCATCTCACCAATATAGAAAATCTGCTCGCGTGAAGTACACTGCTCTCTAGACCTAATCATTTCGCCCGATATACGCAATTTTCTGCTGTTTCGCTCACCAAATCTACGCTTTCGTTTTCTTCGACTTTAGACGAAAACAGATTCAAAATGCCTTCCTCTTCTGCAGCCGGCCCCTCGAAGCGCAAGGCAGTCTCGGCTCCAGTAGCCGTCCGTTCATCCAAGAGGATCCAACTCTTGAATGAGCAGAGGGCGAGGGAGAACGATGCGGAGCTTCCGTACACGGGAAAAGGCAAAGGCAAGGCAAGGCAAGTCATCATCGATGATGACGATGATGAGAGCGAGTACTTTGATGAAGACTTGGACACTGACATAGGCGAATGTGCCGTCGAAGACGAGGCCGATGAAGACGGCGATTACGAGAGAGTCATTCCAGACTCTGAAGATAACGATGATTATGATGATGATGACGATGAAGAAGAAAGAGTCATCCCAGATACCGAGGATGATGACGACGACGACGACGACGATGATGATGATGATGACATCGAAGAAGAAGAGGCGGAAGAAGAATGTGCCTTCCGCACCGAGCGAGATTGGGTTATAGACCCCGACTATAATCCAATTGAAATCGAAGAGCTCCTCAGTGACGAAGAGATTGAGGACATCGGGGAGATCGAGGAGGAAGAGTTACTCGATGGCGAGGAGACCGAGGAAATACCAGCGGTATCCGGAAATGTAAGTTGTGGAATTGACGTTTCTTTGTCTATGCAAGCTAACAAAGTGATTCTAGGGCCCAGGCCAAGGGCGTTTCATTCCGAAGAAATACCTCTTCGGCTCGGACAAGAGGTGTGGCGCCCCAAGCCAATTTTATTCAGTCACTGCGAGCGACCCGAGACGATGCGAATCATTCGATGAAAAAACTCGTCTCATCGTTCCTCGGCTAAAGGCGCTCTCCCTTGAGCATTCGATGTTCACTGGCGCGGTAGCTCGAAACAAAGGTTTCGATACGATGACGAACGGGTTTGCTCGTTTGCTCCATGACTCCGATGAAAATTACATGGTCGAATCGTTTTTGAGTGGGGTGCCAGAGTCAACAAAAATGATACTCGGCAAAGACAACTTTGGACTCATTGAGCTAAAGTCACTTCCGCGCCTTTCGGACTCGGAGTTGAGTGAGCACGGCATCTATATCGACATTGTCGAAATTGATGATGAAATCGACTGGGACCTATATGTTGGTTCCGGTTCAGGTCAGTTTGGTGTGTTCCAACGCTGGGGACCTTACCTTGAGGGCGTAGCGGACAAGACTTACCACGGCGCAAAAATCGTCAAGCCTGGGTACAAGATCAACCTGCGTTGTCTTGCACATTTTGGTTCTGAGCCAGAGCCCTGGCTGATAAGCTTTGCCGAGAGCATGTTCATGTTGTTTCTCGACTCCATCTATGACCCCAGGATAGGCTGGGGAAAGCCAGATTATTCCAGCATATTTATCAACGACGAGATTTACAACGCGGTCAGTGAACTCCGGAAAGAATGTGGCCTCGTGAATCTCGATATACGAGGAATGAACAGGACTTGGTCTCTTATCCAAGGCTGGCATGGCGCTGGTATCAAGGCGGGTGCTATTTGCCCCGATTGTAAGCGAGTCGTCCCGAATTTACATGACAAGTCGTTCAAGCGCACCGAATGGATCTACGTCGATCCTGCACGTCCATCGGCAACCAACGTCATGTGCAAGAACTGTGCATATCGTAGGCGCATCAAGGGGCCGACTCGCACCCCAGCTGAGGAAGCACGGCGAGTCGAACTGGCGTCCATCAAGAGACGCCCAAAACCTGAAAATCGCCAATGCGAGTATGAGGGCTGCACATCGAAAGGTAGATTGAGATGGGTGAGTTTGGAAGACCACAAGAAATGGTATTGCTGCGCACACCGGAATCGTGCGAAAAAAGGCAGGTCAATGGAACCTACAGTGGTACGTAGGAAAGCGGATGGCCCTAGGGCTAGGTATCCCAACCCAGGACGATGCGAACATCCTGGCTGCAATTCAACAAACTCGGTACAATTTGTCACGAAGAAAGGACACCAGAAGTATTACTGTACTGGTCACGCAGCCCGTGCGCGTCAGGGAAAACCACTTGGTGGCTCTTTCACATCACCGAGTAAGGCTACCTATGCCAATCCCGGTCGATGCGAATACCCGGGCTGCCAAAACGTCAAAAAGGTCCTTTGGTACGGAAAAGAGGGGCACAACAAGTTTTATTGCGGTGCACATCGATCTCGAGCAGCAAGGAACAAACCGATGGATCAACCCGTTATAGAGCGCAAGAGAAGGGAACCAAAGAAAAAGGCGAAGTCTAAGTCCGCGTGAACGCATCACCAAATGTGACGATTATGGAGCAAGAAGATATGTGGCGAGTTAGATGGGTATCACGACGTGTCGTGGGCGCATGATGAGTTGTCTGCGTATTGCATGGTGTGTTGCCTGCATAGCACGGTGTGTTGCCTGCATAGCACGGTGTGTTGCCTGCATAGCACGGTCGGCGACCACAGTGCCTATAGTGAGTCGGGAGGCCGTCCTTGGAGTTGCGCACACCTACATCGACCTTGGTGGCGATGTAGGTGTGTGGAAGCCTATGCATGTAAGTATCCCCACGACTCCAAAGTCTTTTACAGTTACTAACTGCCCTACAACTTCCTTAGATAACTCCTGCTGCGTCTGCCATGCGCAGGCGTACAGCATCGCAACATATCTTCTTGCAAGACGGCTTCAATACCAATCGCTTTAGCCAGTTCATCGAGCATTTCACCTCAACAGTACGGCTGATACTACTCCTACCACGCTTGCCGTCGCCAGTACGTTCATCGCGGATATTTCTACTTGCTACAGTAAGTTTATACGTCGTGTTTGAACTACGGTACTGCGTACATGTGCCTCGATTCGTTAGGTTGATGACTTGCTCATTTGCTTGCTCCTTTGCCCCTTTGACATATATGTTCGAGCCTACAACATCAACTAACCTTCGCAGAGAAACTAGCTTCGTCTGGAAGTTGTTCGATAACCTCTTCGGAAATTCCCATAGTGTATCAAGTAGAGGCCTAGAAACGATGCCCATAGATGTCTCAAAAGGGCAATAGAGCTATAGCTTAAAGTCGATCTAGTTCAGATCAATATAGTTAGCAGAATGCATTGATTCTAGAATGTTCGGTCGACTATTTCCCATTCAAGTATAAAAGGGTATTTGCGTGGTGTAGTGTTCAAGATCTATACGATTGAGTGCTGCTATGCCATAGTTGGAGTGAGCTTGGGCCACGTAAACCGGAGTTTTGCAGCAGCTACAACACTAGAATGAGATAGATCTTGATAGGTGGCGGAATGGATTCAAAAAGTCCTAAATAGCTATAGCTACTTTGTGTTCCTCAACTACCCTAGTTTCTACACTAAAGTGTTCGTAGGTCAGAATACAATGCATGTCAATGAATGAATGGAACGTTTGAGAAGAGCCCGTCATCAAGTCCCTGCTAAGATGGCAGGGCGATATACATCAGATGCATAGGTACGCAACTAGGCGGCGCCGTGATACGGAAAGTAAACGGCCTGAGAAGGGTGCAGCTTTGGCTGCATAATTTTTAACGCATGATAGCAGAGGCACTTGTAACCAATTAAGTTACATCTTTTGTAGTGTAGGATAATAGGCCAGGAGCAATCTCAATACGCAGTCGGACATCACCAGCTATAGTAGACAAAGCTAATTTACGTGGAATTGGGTCTGCACAGCTCGGCAAATTTCAAGAGACTCACAGAAGCGAGCGCCACCCCCTACCTCTAAATCCGATAGGACTTGACTCGTGTGTAAGCAACGAGTTTGTAACACACAGAGTATTAAACACACGTTTAAATTGAAATCATTTATATCGTTTCTATTAGCATTAATCTGGCGATGGCTGGATTACTTGTTATAATAAATCTAGTCCTTCCAGAACTGACCCTTGCCCTTCTTGAGGCCCTTGACATCTGCCTGCTTGACAACAAAGACACCACGGTCAATAGTGTTGATGACGACGTAGCCAGAGTTGAAGGTATAGGCGGACCAGGTGCCGGCGTCCCAGAGAGCGTCACCACCGCCGGGCTTGGCGTCGTCACCAGGGTATACGTCAAAGTACGCAATCTCCTTGATCTTCGAACCGTCGGGATACTTTGGAATCGAAGAGACGTCGAGGATGCGGAGACCAGCCTGGTAGTTTGACTGGTAGGAGAGACCGTCGTATACATATTGGTTATGGTCGACGGAGCGGACAGTGGTCTTGTAAAGACCGCTGACAAAGGGCTTCTCGAGGTTCTGGATGTCCACCACGTAGCTTACTGCCCTTCCATCTTTTGCGGGCGAGTCAGGGGCAGTGCGGTTAGGATCGATCTGGCCCTCGTCGAGCTCGTCGTCCATAACAAGGTGGGTTTGCCAGTAGGGATCAATAACCCAGCCCTGGTGGGTGTACGAAGCGCCGACATATGGAGTGCGGGAAATGATGGCTCCCGCATTACCCATGCCTTTTTTGTTCGTAACGTCGTAAATTACAAGCTGATTCTCGTTATAGCCAAAGCAAATGTCTCGTCCGTAGTATTTCTTGTGAGGACCACGGTAGACGATACACTGTGCGTCATGACAGTATCCCGCTTGCCGGGCACATCCCTCGACGTAGGGCTTAGTTGGATCATCCATATTAATGAACATGGGACCGCCAGCACAAGTATCGTTACGGCCTGGTCGACCGCCGGCACCGCAGGCAACGGCGTAGTTCTTTTCCTCGTTGGCAATAACGGTGTGGGTGCGGCCCTTGATACCCTGGTTGATATCGACGAGGGCAACATCCTTAACCTTGTCAAAGGTGTAAGGATTCTTGGGAGAAAGCTTCAAAAGCTTCTTCAGGTCAAAGATCTGGACGTGGTGGCCGATACCCTCGGATCCGACAATAAGAGAGTCTCCGAGGACTTTGATCTCACGCCAGATGACAGAGTCATTCTGGGCGGGAAGACGACCAAGGTACTCGAGCTTTCCCTCCTTGGTAACCTCGGAGAAAGAGGCACCGTAGGTTTGGCCGATGGCAATCTGTGCGACAGTCAGTATAATGGTCTTGATGGGTCAAGTTCAATGTCACGTGATTTTATATCACGTAATATTCAACCTCGCAGTGCCACCCATTAGGACAACACCGAACGGCATGCGAAATCGAAACATGAAATTCTTCCAATCCGAATATGGGAAAAAGGATTTGAAATCGGGTAAACTTACGAATTCACGGCCACGGTGCGTCCATCCCCAGGATCCAGAACCCTCTCCGATAGAGTCACCAAGCTCGGCGTGGGTCTTGAAGTCGTACAAGTCAATGTTGTTGCACCTGTACGTCTGGTCTGGGTCGTCCTTGACAGCCTCAACACGACCAAACTTGCACTTGATGACGCCCTTGTCGGTCCTCTTCTTCTCAAAGCCGTTCCACCTAGCGCTGTCGAACTTGCCAGCAGCACGTTGCTTAGCCCAGGCAGCCTGGATCTGTTAGCATCTCATGCAATGGATGGACTTTCTTGAACATACCTCCTTGCCTTTCATCATCAGCTCCATGACCTCTCCCGAGGCATATTCCTGACGAGTAAAGCCGCTGGCCGAGGCCAGTGGCAGCAAAGCCATGGTGATGGTAGCCCACTTCATTGTGACGAAGACGACTGCGGATTGACTTGGGCAGTTGGGTGTGGGCCTCAAATTGGGAGCACAAGCATAGTCATTATATATCTTTCCCCTCTCCGTACTACACCACTGGAAGCACCGACTAAGTCATGGTCGTCTCCCACCCTCGGTCGCGGCCACTATACAGACCTTCCTATCACAGCTACAACCGACGAGTAGAATGATCCAAGACGCGCGCAGAAGCAACAATACTCGGCGCAGCTTGCAACGGCATGCAAGCCAAGTCTGTCAGGTCTTGGGAACACGGCTATGGGTACGGTTCCCATATCAGCTCCCCTGTGCCAAGCATGAGGCGGTTCTTGGCTGCCATTCCGCCCAGACATCCACATGGCAGCGCATGGTATACGTCCTGCAAACAACAACAACCCGGTCTTTGGTAGAATCCAAGAAAAGCAGTAGTGGTAGAATAATTACAAGAGTGGTAAATTATTGCTACTACTGCCCCTGCTCCTGCTACCCACACCTCTACTTGACACCACAGGTATTGTCTTGAGATTTATTTGTCTACATACGCAGATCGCGCTGGTCAACAAGGTGGCGGAGCCAGGGACACGTGAAAGCTAGGCGCTAATCTTCTTCCCCGAATCCCCAGATAGCGTGGTCGGATTAGGCAGCTGCTCTTGTTGCCAAGCCATTGTGGAATTACACGACCAAAGAAATCCAAGCACCCTGCCATCGGCCATTAACGTCTACAGAGGGCCTGAAAAGACGCGGCCCATTGCCAGCCGACGGGAGCCATTAGCCGCAGTGGTTCTTTGCGAGCACCTTCCTGTAGGAGCATGTTGTGGCAAAGATGTCAGCACTGGTCCAAGTGCACTGGCAGTAGGCAAAGGCGAAAGCGCTGACGCCTTGCCGTAGACTGATGGCCTTATCGCAAAGGTAGGCAGGTCATTACATTGATCACATCTATACCCGGCTTGGCGTAGAAGTGCGATGCGGTTGGGATAGAGAGGCCGAGGTGAGGCGAATTTGTGGGAGCCATGGAGCAAGAGCAAGTAAAAGCGCAATGGCGCCAGGAGAAAGCAGCGGGAAAAACGAGCGTCTTTGTAGGGGCTTTTGCCTGAATCAAGACACTACCGTCAATAGTTAATCGAGCGCATAGTCGGCTGTGTTTGAGCAGAATTGAGGCCGTTATATGAATGGAGCTGTATTGTCCAGGCTGATTGGCCTGCGTGAACAAGGTGCATACTGCGTGTTCTTGCTAGTACGGGATAGTCCCAAGTGCAAACCACGGCCACGGTACTATACCTGGGGGATGAGCAGGTTTGGTCTTAACCAAGGCGATCGTGAGTGATCTTGCAAAGCTTGAAGAGCTTGTTGCTACCGGGGGCTGTGAACGTCTGTCTTGGAGTATGACATTGCAGTGGTGGTGAGATGGGATGAAAGTAAGACTGCGGGCGGGCAAACCTCGGCTAGCTTCCCGTACCCTTGCACATCCTCCTCTCACCACCAACGTCCCGCTCCCGTAACCACCAATCAACTCTAGCCCGGCCATGAAGCTCACCGAAGACGACCTCTATCGCAACTCGACACAGTATCGAAACTGGTCCTTTACTCGCGCACAACTTGCCGAGCAACGTCTAAGGATCAACCTCCAGGCCACTGAGCGCGTCAAGGCGAACCTTGCGCGAGTGCGAGCGCAGCGCGCTCAGGATGCTGTAGACAGTGACGCTGCGCCACCTGGCGCCGACAAGGAGAATGCGAGCGGGGCAAATACTCCCAATTCAGGCATGCAGACGACGACTGAGGTCAATTGTCTGACTGCCGAAGAGGAACTCACCGTGGTCAATGAGTTTTGCGAACGCGCCATCGCACTGGGAAACCATTACAGCTTTCCATTGAACGTAGTTGTACGCCGCTGCCTGCAAATACCATAATTCGGCCACCAACTGATACATTTCCTAGGCAACATGTATTCAATTTATGCGCCGCTTCTATCTCTACAACTCGCCCATGACCTACCACGTCAACACCATCCTGCGTACCATAATGTTCATGGCCACCAAGATTGAGCTCTTCAACATCCATGTTTCACAGTACGCAGAAGGCGCCGGGCGAAACGTCACCACCGAAGACGTTCTCGCACCCGAATACATCATCATGCAAGGATTACGGTACAACCTCGACGTACGCCACCCTTTCCGCGCCCTCAAGGCCGGCCACATGGAACTGCTGGAGATGGTGCACGGAAAGTACCAGGGACCCGTCCAGGATATGGCACCAAAGGAAGTGCAGAACAAGATTCTCTCACTGCCTGCCAAAACCGGTGGTACAGCCATAAAGATGCCAGAGAAGAAGGTTGAAGAGCGCATTCATGCAGCATACGGGACTGCAACAAACACACTACGTACTATCGCCGTGCTCACAGACGCATACTTCCTCTATACCCCATCGCAAATCTGGCTCTCAGCCCATCTCCTCGCGGACGAACCTCTCACCCTGTTCTACCTCTCGACCAAACTCCCGCAATCACATCCCCACTACGCCAAACTCTTATCCACTCTGCGCTCATGTGCTTCCCTAATCTCCAGCCACCGCTTATACGTCAACGCCACGCTCCCCGCTGCAGAGCGCGACGCCCGCGAAGCAAAACACAAAGCCGAAGTCAAAGCCCTCGTACAAAAGTTGAAAAACTGCCGGGACCCAGACAAGGTCGATTTAGTAAAATTGAATCAGGCACAGAAGAGAGACGCAGTCCAAGGCGATGCGCTAGAGGAAAGTAAAGCTAAGAGGAGGAAGCTTGCGAGAGAGGGCTATGAAAAGGAATCCGATGCGTTTTGGGGGCCTGAATTGATCAAGTCGGACAAGACGGAGAAGTGACAGAGTCTTAGTTCTTTTACTCTTCGGAGCTACATGGTTGAAATGTAACATCAGGATACGGAGTTGCTTTGTACAATACGCGTTTTAGGGTTGGTGGCGTTTACAGGGAAACAAAAGGGTTTAATAACGATACCATGAAGCGCGTCTCATTTCCAAGAGAACTACTGGATTGATTAGATTAAGCTACGTAGAAATCAAAGGTTTTCTCTTGTACGTCTGTTCAAACACAAGATTTGGTGAAACATAGGTCACAGCTAATGTTGCGATATGTAAGTATAGAGTGTTGGTGAAGACGGAAACCTTCCCAATTAGGCAATTTGAAGCTGAGGTATAGATTGCTGTCGCGGATGCAATCTGCACCCAAGTGCTGCAAATTGCAGCAGCAATTTGCACCCAACTCTACATTCTTCCGTCTGATGGAAACTACCCAAACAGGCAATTGTCAGCAAAGTGTAGATTACTGTACGGAAACAAAAATAAGCAAAGTGCAGCCATCTCCATGCTGCATTTGGTATCCGTTGGTGCACCCCATGTCGGCGGTCGAGGAGTTGCCCAAATAGGCATGTTTGGGGAGAGGGTGTGGATGACGGCAAAAGAAAAGACGTCGTGTTCGTTTGTGTCTCCGTTTTCCAGCTGCGTTTCAGCCATTTTGGGTTTAGCGCGCAGCTTACCCAGACGGAGACAGAAAACGGAGGGCTGTTCGGTTGCAGCTTTCCGTTTTGTCCCAACATCTTGATTGCGGGATTTAGTCAACCATACCCTCAAAGAAGAATTAGCAAATGCCGCTGTAGTTCTACAGCAAAATAGAGGTTAACATTCAGCAGTACTTTCTTGGGAATGCATTACTTCGAGAACCTCGGTTCTACACACAACTACTCCGTTCAGAGCCTTCGTCTCCAAAACGGAGCCCAATCCAGTTAGCAAAATGCAAACCGCAAAACCGCAGCCGCAAATCGCGCAACCGAACAGGCCCTGAAACGGAAAAAAACGCAGGCCAACCAAGCAGACCCCGATTACGTTCGGTTCCGGTCCGCCTCTCTCCGTCCCCGCTAAGCCCCGTTCAGGCGAATGACGTAGTTTGGCACCACGGCGCTGGACACTCCCGGCTGCGAAATCAGACAGGACCCTGTTTTTCCCTCTTGAGCCCAACCTATCGATGCTTACTTCATAAAACATGAAAAATAGGGGAGCGAGTTTCAAATCTTGAGAACCAGAGAACAGGCGCTTAAAGACGTCAGACGAAAAAGAAAGAAAAAGACAACAAAAAAGGTGCTCGTTGCCCTTCTTATCTATCCGTCTTCTGCATGTTCTGCGCAACTCTACCATTTGCTCGCAAGTGTACATGTATATATGTGAGAGTTGAAACACTACAATAGGCTTATACATAGATACTTCCAATATCCCACTCCGTACTTTTCTCACCTCAACTAATCTACCCACTACACCACCCCCTTCGCCCCCCTTGCTTCATCCGTCTTATCGGTATCGGACAAAAAGATATCCTCTCCACCCTCACCGCGCAGCCAATCACCTCTGCATGCCGAATCCAAACTGCCACACTCGGTAAGAAGTCAGCTCGAGGCATTGATTATAGTGGGTTTCCGCTCGTTCCCCGATGGACCCTCGCTGCTCCTCTTTCTCCTTCTTCGTCGTAACGTCTAAACTCCGGGCGGACATGGGATGTTCCCTGTTTTTTTTTGGAGAGGGAGGAGGGGGGGCGCTTTCGCCTCTTCTGGGTCTCCCCACCACTAACCATCATCATGATCTCTCTGCCCTTGGTACATGAGGGATTAAATCACGCCACTTACAGTCACAACATGGTTTCGAGATGTTTACAATATAGAAAGATGAGCTTTTGAATTTCTAATATACCTGATTTTGCGCCACATTGAGCCAGATAGTAGTTGAGAAAAAAAGTCATGTTTTACCACCGTCCTCCCAAACGCCAGCCATGCAATCATAAAGTGAGCTTCTTCATAGCGACATGAGGGCTTAATCCACGTATTCGGACCTGACCTTCTTCGCTCTCCTCTTGTTCGCCTTGAAATGTTTCTTGCTGTTCATCTTCATCTCTGCTGGATCAACATCCTGCTCCAGCGCTGCCATCATCTTGGCTTTTCTGCCGCTCAGCTCCTTGCCTTGCTCGCTATACTTGTAGTGGAATGGTTGGCTGACCTTGGCCATTCCTTGGCCTGGGCCAAAGAAACGCTTGTCCATGCGTTGTGTCTTCTCACCTTGAATAGGTACGCCACCGTCGAAATCGTCGTCCATCAACGATGCACCGTCTTTGGGCATATCTGCAAGAGAAGTGTTGCCAGGAACGTTTGCAAGAGGGTGGTGGCGACGCTTGGCAGGTAGATGGTTCACGTCGTAGAGCTCGCGGTTAAAGTGCTTCTCGTCAATCGGTGGCTCTGTTGGCGGTGGGTGGCAGAATAGGATCTTGCCCTTGACGTAGTCCTTGAGAATGTATCGCGCTGCTCGCGATTCATCGGGTTGACCGAGACCCTGGGTGGAGAAGCCTCGAGCAATAGCAAAAGCGCGCAATACTTCTTCAGAAGTAAGAACGCCGGTACCACCCTCCTCAAGAGGGCGAGGATGAATCTTCATTCCATAAAGCGCCTCTAGGAATCGTTGTGGGATTCGCCTAGCAACAAGACCTGCAGGGCCAGTGTACTCTCGCAGTTGGTCAATTGGAAGGACACCAGCACACACAAGCTCAGCCTTTGTCGTCGCAAAGTTGGGGAACACAAGACCAGGACAATCGCACAAGACAACCTTGTCACTAAGATGAATGGTCTGGAAGTGCTTCGTCTTTCCGGGTGTTGCAGATACGGACACCTTCTTCGCGCCAATCAAAGCGTTGATTGTGGATGACTTTCCTACGTTGGGGTAACCGACCAGACCAATTGACGTCTTGCGCGGCTCGCCATTAGGACCCGTTTCGACATCCGGTGCATGTTGTAGGAAAAGCGCCTCGAGGTCTTCGGTTGTGAGAATTCGCGTTCGCTCGTCACCATCTGCGCCGGCACTGCTCTCGCCAGGAACGGCGACGGTCTCCTCATCTACCCATTTTTCCTCCTCTTCCTGCTTATCTTGTAGGTCAATCTTCTTGGCCTCCTTTGAAAGTTCGTCATCTTCCTGATCAACTTCTTCGTCTTCATCCTCATCCGAGTAGTCCTCTGAATCGCCTGATTCGTCGCTTTCCTCTGCTAACCCACGGGCTTCGTTCATCTCCTTGGCCAACTCAGCAGAGAAGAACTTGAAGTTGATGCCAGCCTCAGTGAAATAGTCGGCCCAAATCTTCCGCTGCTCCAGTGTCATCATATCCGCCTTGTTGACCAGTAGCAAATTATTCTTCTTAGGATCAACCTCCTTGACATAGTCCTCCAAATCTTCAGATCGGAACATGAGCGGATTTCGGGCATCCACAATTTGCACAACGAGATCGGATCGCTCGATAACACGCCATAGTTGTCTCCATACCTCGAGGTTGCGCTCAAAGGGTGTCATAAGCAGATCGTTGTTCTCTTGCAATTCCGCCAAGCCTCTTCGCCACTGTAGCAGCGCTGACCTTTCCAACTCGTCCAACTCCTGCGGCGTAGTCTGCGCATCCCACTTTGGTCGCCTCGGCACCGTCAACCTATTCCTGTTCTCCTTGTGTCTCCGAGTGACATTGCGCTCTTCAGCTGCTGACAAGAGGTATGGGTTCTTCTGGTCCTTGTGAATGATCTTGACGTTGTTCATCTTCTCAGCCGTGAAGTCGGTACCCGCTAATTCGGCAGTCGAAAGGAAGTCGTCAAGAGCGCCTTGTTCAGTGACAGAGCGCATCTTTACCCATGCCGCCTCCTTCTTCTCGTTGGTGATGTACTGTAGGATATCAGCATGATCCAAACAACGAATGATGGGTCTTCTAAACAACTGCGCTACTCTGCGCGGGCTTGCGAACAGACTGGAATACAATGTTTTCGTACCTTCTCGCCATTTTGGCCCGTTCGCTCGATTCCCTGGTTAAAGTTGCCCCTCCGCATGTCCGCGCCCTTGCCCTTGCTGAACCGATCGTTCATCAGGCTGTTGCCCAGCCCGACGCTCTTCTTGGACTTTGCGAGAACCATGGTTTCTGCTAATTCCAAATATTCTGTAGTTGTGGTGTGTGGTCCCAAAAGAGGGGTGTGAGTCGAAAGAGAAAGTTGAGAACCAAGGTTGCCCCACGTCATTCACTGGTTCCACTCGCCTAAATTATTTTTTGAGCGCCCAACGCCAAAAGACCCTTCGTTTGTAAGCGCGATTCCCCAGACTTCCACAGCCAACACTTGCCACTTTCGACACATACCCGGAAAAAGTTACACCACACCTGCAAGATGCCTCGCCGAAAGTTCATGTAAGGAGAGAAATTGCGCGTGCTGCGATACCCCGCTGACCCCGCGAATAGCGATAAGAAAACGGCGATAAACTTTCGCCTCGTGCACCGCGCACAAAATGACCCGCGAATCCACGATGAAGACGCTCCGCAGATGGTCTTTGCCGAGACTGTTGCGCCAAATCAACGCGAAGTGTCAGAGCCTGCAGGAAGTTCGCGAGCGTCGCAATACTCGACGGCGACGGGACGAAGCAAGATCAAGTCAAGACGTGATTTAGAGAGCGAGTACGGATCTAAAGTGCGGAACAACGAGGGCGAGGCCGCCAACTATGGCATCTTCTACGACGACACCGAGTATGACTACATGCAGCACATGCGCGACCTAGGCACTGGTGGCGGCGATGCATACTTTATCGAGGCCAAGCAGGAAAAGAAGGGAAAGCAAAAGATGGACTTGGCCGACATGCTGCGAGATGCGTCGCTGAACGACAGCAAGAGCCAGGCTGATATGAGCGTCAGCAGCAATATCAGCAGTGTGAGCGACTTCTTCGGCGAGGATATGGCCCCCTCGGAGTTTGTGCGGAAAACAACATACCAGGACCAGCAAAATATCCCAGACGCCCTTGCAGGCTTCCAGCCCGACATGGACCCGAGGTTACGAGAAGTGTTAGAGGCGCTCGAAGATGAGGCCTATGTTGATGATGAGGAGGATATCTTCAACGAACTGGCACAAGACGGCTATGAAATCGACCAAAGAGAATGGGATGCCAGCGCCGACTTTGATGATGATGAGCGAGACCCAATGGATCGTTTCTTGGACGAAGAAGATCCTGGCTGGGAAACCGACGACACAATTAAAGCATCGTCTCCCAAAGTCAAAGCCAAGAAGCCATCTGAAGACTCAACGGACCCTTCATCCCTCCCCGCCCCAGATGCAGCGCCCGCCCCAGCAGACGCAGAAGATATGGCATACCTAAAGGAATTCAAAAAGTTTAAGGAAGACGTCAAGGCCGCCAAACCCAACAAGGCCGCCGCTGCACCCGCAGACACGCAATCCTTCATCACCGGCGCCTCGGCCCTCACCTCGGGCGGGCGCAAGAAGAAGCGCAAAGGCGCAATGACATCCACATCCGGCTACTCCATGTCGTCCTCGGCCCTCCACCGCACAGAAGGCCTCACCCTCCTCGACCAGCGCTTCGACAAAATCGAAGAAGAATACGCAAACGACGACGTCTTCGACTTCCCCGACGACGCATCCATGGTTTCGGGCATGAGCAAAATGAGCGGTATGACGGGTATGAGCCAGTGGTCTAGTAGTCAGGCTCCGCCTTTGCTCCGCTCCGATTTCGACTCCATCATGGATGATTTCCTGGGTAACCATCATACGCAGGGTAAGCGGAGGGTGAAGAAGGGGAAGCAGCAGACGGGCTTGGAGCAGTTGGATGAGGTGAGGAAGGGTCTTGGGGCGCCGATTGTTAAGCCAAAGGATCATTTTAGTGTGCTCAAGGCTTGAGCTGTTGTCGTCGCTTTTTTTTCCTCCCTTTTTGGTTGCTTGCATGGAATGGGGCGTCTTGTTCTTTGGAACGGTTATTGAATAGGGGGTATGGGAACTGGTTTCCCCCCCCCCCCCCCCACTTGATGTTATACATGTATACCCACATGTCGGTGTATGGAATTTAAACCACGTAGATGGGGATTTATGAAAAAACGCTTCTTTTGTTTCGTCAAGTTATGTTGCTGTAAAAAGTCATTTGCACTTCCGACTATGTCGTAGTATTATTTGATTCATTCGTTCATTCATCAAACATCGTGAAGACGTAAACTATATCCTCCAAATATGCATCAAAATGCTCCTACACCCTCAGGTCCCTGCTTCGCTGCCACAGAAATCTTAAGCCTTGGGCTCGACATTAGCCCCCGTAACCCCCTTCTCCAGCGCCTTCTTACTAACAATCCTGAACCCACCAAACAGCATCAGCGCCGCCAACGAACCCAGCACAACAGCGAGCGTAACAAACGCGCCAATCACACCCCCAATCTCTGGAGAAAGCGCAGTATGATCACCACCCTGCTTCTTAGCCTGACCCTCACTGTTCGCCGCAAACGCAGCGCACGATCCCGCCGTGTTACCGCACTTGCCGCACCACTGTTCAGTAGAGGTGATAGCGAACTTGCTCAGCTCATCCTTGAACTCAGTCCACGAAAGCGCATCTGCCTTGCTGCCGAAAAGCGGGTAGACGGATGGTTCACTCGTATTGCTGGCGGTGCCGTTGTGGAACAAGAAGCGTACCTGGAGGTCATTCTCAGCAGGGAATCCGGCACCGACGTCGGCGGTAGTGAAGAGCTCGAATGCCATGGAGCTGGCGTAGTCGACTATGCCGGTGAAGTCGTCGTTTACGCTGGGTAGGTCTGCAAGACCGAAGAAGGACAGGAACGTGGCGTAGGCGCCGAATTGGATGCCGAGTTTGCTGGAGCCCGTGGTGTTGATTACGTTGGTCATGTAGGAGAGGATTTCACCTGCGAGCTGCATGCCTGCAACGGCACGCATGTTGTCGCTGGCATTGTAGGCGAGACCCCATTCGTGGGCGTTGGCGAGGGCGGTGAGTTGGTGGAGGGTGGAATTGGTAAGGACGTCGGAGTTTGGGATGGAGGTGTTGTGGATTTCAGCTACGTGGATGATGTCGTAGACTTTTTTTGGTTGTGGTTAGAGAGAGGATAGAAAGGTAAGGGGGAAAGGAAGATGGCATACCGATATAGGCGTTCTTGTAATTCACTTGATCGTCGCTGATGACGTCGTTGATAGAAGGAACGAGGGATTTGTAAAAGCTGGAGGTGCTTGAGGCAAGTTCCTTGTATTCTTGACTTTCAAAGTATGAGTTTGAGCTGGCTTTTGCGTTTTGGCAGCTGGAGGCATCCTGGAGCCAGCCAGAGTCCTCTGAGCCAGCACCGGTATCAATGGTGTTGACGGGAATCAGCTGGTATCCATCCATGGGAGCCTGGACATTCTGGCCGTTGGCAAGAGTCGAAACAGTCTGGACAGGTGGGTACAGGCCCTGCAGGAAACCCATAGCAGAGTTTTGGAGAACATTGTCGACAGGTGCTTCAACCTGCAGCTGAGACAAGTTGACTTCATCCTCGTTGATGCCGCGAATCTTGGAATCACCGGACAGGTAACGTGAGCGGTAGTATTGTCCAGAAGTGTAAACCTGCTCGTACCCAAGCGTGGTCAGGTTGGTGGGTGCAAGAGCCTTTGGCGTGCGGTCACCATGGCGGTGGTAGATATAAGCACCAAGGACAGTCTCAGCAGCCTCGGCCCCAACAAGCATGGAGAGAGCAGAGAGAGCAGCGACGGACTTCATGGCGGGCAATTGGAGGATTGTCAGCAAGTGAAGCTGTACGTGAAAACAGGCAAAGCAATTGAGCCCAGAGCAGAGCGGCAAGGATTGTGAAGCAAAGGTGGGATGCGGAAATAATCACAGCGGAGATGTCAGGACCTTATACTCCATCACGAACTTGTCAAACGCGCCCCGCTAAGTAAACACAAGGTAAGCTCCGGAGAGATTGGATACCACGACCCATAGATCCGTCCAATCTGAACAATTGTGGCCCGTATGTAGCGGGGCACCTGCCCAACACGCAGGCGCTGCGTGGAATGGTGGGGAGTCGGGGAGGGGCATGCAGGTGGGGGTGCGGACTGAAGCATGACAAGCTTTTCCGCGCGAATAATGTTTGGCTGGCATGTGGCAGCAAGAACACGAGTGGACGGCTCAGATAGGGAATTCATCGGGTGGGCCGACTGGCAAGTAATGGTCAGGATGACGAAGCACATAGTAGTCTACTCGTCGCTCCCATAAAGTATTTCGCAAACCCCACCTATCGGCACGTCCAGAACGGCGTCTGTGCCGAAGCTCCACAGGCTCTTCCAATCCACATCACTGGATGCATCGAATTGGTACGCAGACAGGGAGCCTCTACGGCTTGGAGGCGCACTTGCTCGGCTGCCATTTTCCTTGTCCTTGTCCTCGAGCTTTTCTGTCAGCAGCCTGGGATCGCGTACGATCTGGCCCGTCTCCTTGTCCACGGCCGCAATCTGAGCGCTGTCATCCACCAGGTTCTCACAGCTGCTGAGCGGTAGCGTGAGGTAGCGCGTGTTGTAGCTTGCGAGCGCAACGTAAATGTAGATGACCAGCACAACCAGCCAGCAGGGCACGGCAAGCGCCCACCACCGGTTGGGATAGTAGTGTATGCCCATCTGGTGCAGCATTGGCGCTGGCACGTAAGCCCAGAGGATGTACATGAGGAACGCAGCCGAGCTGCCCAGATACAGCGCAAAGCCATAGTACTCGTACGTCGGAACTTTTGGCGAGGCGCGCGGGACTGTCGGCGCATGCCGTGCCGAGTTGGCAAGGTTGGTTGTGTTTGATGTGGGTGTACTCGTCCCATTGCTATGCGACCCAGCCCTGGACGTATCTACATCGGATGAGTCTGGTGTCGTAGGTCTCGACGTCGGCCGGCTGAATGCAGGGCGGAGGAGCGAGGTGAGCGATGGCGACGGCGGTAGGGGGTTCGGCGGTCGATTGTAAAAGGGCGGGAAGAGGGCGGTCCCTGTGTGAACATGCTGCTGGAGATGTGTGTACGACTTGGATGTGTAGAGACCCCGAGATACAGGCGCATGCTCATCTTCCTCGCCCGAAGACTCGCTGCCTATATCTTCTACGGCAAACGCTCCTTGATCGTCGTCGTCATCATCATCATTGTAGTCGTCCTGGTAGTCTTCCACAGATGCCGTCTCAGAGATGGCACTGTTGGAAGCCGGCGACAGCGGGTCTACAGGGGGAGCGGATCGGAGAGGAGATGTAATCTTTTCTTGTTGCTGGCTCTCTCCATTGTACATGCGCAAGGTTGGTAAGTTGGGCGTCGACTTGGAGTAGAAGCCCGAAGGCATCGAGTTCCCCCTACTCTGAGGTGACATGTCGTCGGTCGTCTGGCGCAATGGGAGCCGCCTGTCCTTTGCGTGCTTGAGCCTCACAATCACGCGTTCGGCGCTAAAATCGGAATCATTCCGAAGAATAAAACAACCAAGTACATACTCGCCCTAACCTTGACCAAGCCTAGAGAAGTATTAGCATCAAACTCTGTTTACCATGTTGAGTTTATTATGTTGGGAAGTGTCTGTGGTGTCCCGTCACTCAGGGTGTCCCGTTACGTAGGGACAGACGTTACACCACACCATAGCAATTTTGCATAAAAGTTTAATTATACTTTTGGCTTTATTACTAGAAATATCGGCAATCCTAGTACAGCTGACATTACCACACACCACTTCTTTCTTAAGGCACGAACGTGGTCAGACGGGTGCGCATATTACTAAGATATAATAAATTACAGACTTAAATACTAAGCTAGGTTGCAGACAGATTTAAGTATATAATAATAGATTTCATTCTACTCTCACATAAAAAGTTATCACACTACGGATTGCTTAAAAGACAAAATCAAATATCACTATAAGTACTCCCTACCTAAAAAGTATTATTAACTTAGTTAACCGCCAGCAACAGACTATTACAGCACTTTGTTTATCCTCTGCCAATTCGTAAATCTATTTAAAAATACATATATCAGAATAAGGTTTTCAGTCGCATTAAGTATCCTCCTCGCAGTTACAGGGGCTCAGGCAAAATACTGCATTAGTAGTTATAAATATTGCGACTATTATCCAGCCGTATCAGAATATAAATACTACGTAGGTGGATGCTCTAGAATCGGGGGTTGCGAATATCATGCCAAGACAATTAATAGAAAATCGGTCAACCCAGATACTTCAAAAGGAAACAGCGACTACATACAGGTTTATCCTACTTCTAGTGGTACTCAGAGGTGCAAGGATGTAAGTTAGTAGGGCGCAATTTTCCCATATACCTGACAGCTAGGGATTCACAACTAGGATAAATGGGCGGTTACAAAGACTTGGAAGTGCTAGATTAGAGCCCGGCAACTAAATTTGATGCTAGCAAGAACTTTTGACAGTTACCTCTGTAGTTGGCCGTCCATATGCCTTCACGCTTCAGGCCATTACACAACATTCAACGCTAATGTGCTTTTATTTCTAGATATTACAGGACCACATCTACAGCTTGCTAGCCTCTCCGCTTGTCCTGTTCAAATACAGGGGATCTTGGGGCTCGTAGCCATACTTCCTGCAAAGCTCCTCGCCCTTCTTCTTCTGTGCCTCGAGCCTTTGCTTGTGTGCCGGTCCCCTCTTGTTCTCATTCCTACCAAGCTGGAGGAGATGCACCTCATCTGGGCCATCGACAATGCGCATCGTCCTGCCTGACGCCCACATCTGTGCCAATGGCGTATCTTGGCTGACACCAGCACCACCGTAGGCTTGCATCGCCCAGTCAATCACCTTGAGGTTGACCTCTGGCACAAGAACCTTGACCTCGGCAATTTCCTTGAGCGCACCCTTGGCGTTGGTCTCGTCAATCTGGATAGCCGCATTGCACACAGCAAGACGGGCAGCGTCAATCTCAATACGCGAACGAGCAACACGCTCCAGCATGATGCCATGCTTGTTGAGCAGCTGGCCAAAAGGCTTCTTGCGCTCGTCGTTGATGCGAGCCAAGAACCACTCCAATGCCTTTTCGGCAGAGCCAATGCTCCTCATGGCGTGGTGGATACGTCCGGGGCCAAGACGGCCTTGGATAATCTCGAAGCCACGGCCCTCGCCGAGCACCATGTTGCTGGCAGGCACGCGTACATTCTCAAATGTAACGTGACCGTGACCATGGGGCGCATCGTCGAATCCCATGACTGAAAGCATGCGGTGAATGGTAACACCAGGCGTGTCATTGGGAACGAGAATGACCGACTGTTGCTTGTACTTGTCGGGGTTGTTGGGGTCCGTCTTTCCCAGAACGACGAAGATCTTGCAGCGAGGGTCGCCAATGCCTGATGACCACCATTTCTAACATCACGTTAGTCACATGGAGCGGAATGGTCGAGAAAAAGAAGACAAACCTGGCCGTTGAGCACATAGTGATCGCCGTCGCGCTTGATGCTCATCTCAATGTTGGTGGCATCACTCGAGGCGACCTGAGGCTCGGTCATCAAGAAGGCAGAGCGAATCTTGCCCTGCAGCAGCGGGTCGAGCCACTGTCTCTTCTGTGCCTCACTGCCGTACTTGGCAATGACCTCCATGTTACCAGTGTCGGGGGCGGAGCAGTTGACCGCCTCGGAAGCTGTTCGGCTCTTGCCCAGGTACTCGGCCATGAGCCCGTACTCGAGATTGCTGAAGCCAGCACCCTCCTTGAAGTGCGCCTTGGGCAGGAACATGTTCCATAACCCAAGCTCCTGTGCCCGCTTCTTGAGGTCCTCCATGATGGATGGGTGTGCCGAGAAACGTTCTTGTACGCTCTGGCCGAGCTGGCGTGCGTATACGGCATCGGCAGGAATACATTCCTCTTCGACAAACCTCTCTACCTGTGGTCCCAGTTAGTACCAGCTTTGTCGCTCCTAGTTTCCCAGGCTCCTTACAATGTCGAGCGTCTTTGCGGCTCGTTCGCTGACAAACGGCCGAGCAATGACAGGAATGCGCTTTGAAGCTGGAATGTGGCCATTCTGGCTGTTGCTCAGCAAATCAAAGGCTCGGTCGTATGGTACAGACATGGTTGTGTTTGTGTGTGTGTAAAAGGGAGATGGATTCTGGAACAACAAGACGAGGGGAATCCGGGGTACTTTAACAAATCGTATGGAGGCGGCGCATTGACGGCTATGAAAGGGTGCGGTTGCGCTACTCCGCGTCAAAAGTTGCCGAGGTATGTCGCAGATCAACTCCGCTTTGATCTAGCTCTGCTCAACCTCTCACACCATTCATGACTCTCACGCAACCGATGGGGCCGGAAAATCCAGAAAACCGGCTATTCCCCACTCAGAATTGCTTTTCATAATGTAAAATAGATCTGTTATAAGGCCCGTTAGTACTAGTCTCCGTATAAGCTATACATGGTTTAATACTCAGACTCAACTGGTACCATCTGTAACTTTCTCAATATCAAGGTACGCCTAGCGGACCTGTAGTTGCCTAAGAAGGAGGTATGTAGCGAGTTAGCTATGCTATGAGGTGGCTTTGCACTATTGGGAGGAGCCGCCATTCTCCGGTTCCATCGGCTGCGCGAGAGCACAAGCTGGTAGTGCTTTGCCGATGAAAGTAGATATGTGACTGGTATTGGACAGAGGCTACTGCTGCAGTCTTTTTGACATTGATTATGTGTAGGTTCTGGGATGGTGGTAAGTTTCTTGGTGACGCAGTGATCAAGATTTCTCACTGGCACGGGAAAGGTCATTAGTGACGCAGTGAGCAACGCGGGGTGGTAGTACATAGTAATGCTTTCCGTGGCTTCCCGTAGCCTCTCATACTCTTATAATGAGTAGGCGGGTTGACTGGAAAGAAAAATCAAACCCAACTACCGCAAACAAGAAGCAGACAGAATGCCAGAACTGTTTGCCCGATTCCCGCGCGAGCTAACTGACATGGTGCTGACAGAGCTCGTCCTTTTACACAATGACGACCCTGTCTACCAGTGGACTCGTCTGCGCTTGCTCTCCCCGCACCTCAAGGCTTCAGTTGAGCAGTATTTCCGAGAATTTTGGCTACCCAAGCTTTCTTTCGCCATATCTACCTATGGCTTGTCTGACCCTGGCTTTGTTGTTTTTGGCCCTCCTCAAGGAAAGAGCGCTAGGTTCGAAAAGAGAGAGGGAGATGCAAGTCGCCAATATGTAGTATTCGAGGCAGATCATGACCCCAAGTTTATGACCACTGTTCTTAGGGACGATCTAGTCAGCTGGTTGCACAGAACCACCCGTCCGGGGCTCTGGTCACCATGGGACAATGACTGCCAGAAATCCATCATTGTTCGACTCGGTGAAGGCACACTGAACAAGGGCTTTACCAAAGGCGGTATCGTCAGCAACACCGTCATCCCAGGTATCAAGATAAACGTTGAGACAGACCCGTGGCAATTGTCATTCGACTGGAAGTCCATGTTCACCTGGCTTCTCACCGAGGAAATGTTACTGCAGAGCTTTCGCGACAAGCTACTCGACAAGTTTCTACCAGAGATTCAGACAGTAAAGGGATGGGAAGCGAGACAGACCGCGATATATATCTTTCTTCTCCATCGCTATCGAGCCCAGCGTATATCCATGCTAGCCGCATATTGGGACCACGTCGTCCGACACACCTCATCTGGTGCGTCTCGATCCTTGGGTCCTCCCGCTGAAACCTTCGACATGACACCATACGTGGAGAACCCCAAACTACGACACCCTCGCGCCTCGTCTCTCGACTTCGACACGGCTATTTCCAGTCTTGGCGGCGGCCAAAGCATCATCTTCCACATTCCTGGCTGGCAAACCTGGGCTATCCGCCAACTAGCGAGCATGCGTATCCTCGATGAACTGACCTACGATGCAGAGTTTCTTAGCAAAAACTCCAGGGCTGACTGTGAGTACTATACCGATGTGCTCCTGCGCCAGAGCAAAGTGTTGAAGAAGAGAAAGGATGCCAACGATAGTGTATTTGAAAGGCACTTGAGGGGCCCGGCCTTGAACCTCATGTGGTTCTGGATATCATGTGATGCTGAAGCTACAGATGAGTGTCAGATGTTTGGTCATGCTGGCGATTCCTTGCTAACATTAGCCTCATTTGTAGTATTATGTTTTTTGATTTTTCTCTTTGAGCGCTCTGTACTGTGACCCTGTTGTATGTAAAAAAAAACACCCTTAAATCAATTCATAACTTCGTTAATCAACCTGAACAAAAAAAAATAATAACTCCTTGCATGTGAAATCATCCAAGAACTCTACTCGCTCAAAAAAAAAGGGAAAAGAAAAACTCCAGATATCCATCTTTCCACACACACACACATCTCTCAAATCCTACCCCCCTCAACCATCTCCCCAATCTCCTCCCTCCCAAACCACTTCGCCCCTCCATCCTCACCCTCACACTCCCTCCACGCCCCACACGCCTTGAACTGACAACTATAAAACGCCTTCCTGCGGCCGCTCGCATCCATCTTGTTCATGGCAACGAGCCTCATGGCGCGCGGAGGATCACACCAGCAAGGCTCGCTGGGCGTGAGACCGCGGGTATCGGTGAAGCCGTTCCAGGAGCCGCAGGAGCGGTTGGTGCAGAGGCGGTAGGGGCGGCCGTTGTTGAGGTTGGAAGATTGCGTGGTGAGGAGTTTGTTGGGGGAGGCGCATTTGGGGCAGGTGGCGCCGGGGTTGGAGGGGGGTGGGGTGGGAGGGGAGGAGGGAAGGTGGTGGTTGTGAGGGTTGTTGGGGCGGTGGTTTGGCGGGAGGGGAGGGTGGTAGTGGTTGGGGAGATGGGGGAGGAAGGGGGAGAGGGAGAGGGGGAGAGGGAGGGGGGAGATGGGTAGGTTGGGATGGTGGATTTTGGGCGGAGGGGGAGTGGTTTCTTAGGTCTCGTTGTTGGAGGAGAAGAAGAAGAAGAAGATACGGTAGTTTTCTTCTCAGCTTGCGTGCTTCCCTTGCCGGCGGTAAAAACAAAAGGTTTTGTAGTGGTCTCTTTGTTCTTCTCGTACGAACTAGCTGGCAGTGGTGTCTTCAAGAGACTCTTCGGTTCTTGTCCATTGGTCGCCTTAGTATATGACCCTAGTTGCACATCGTCTGTCGAGTATCTTGCTTCCTTGTCAAGGCGCTTACGCATTGGCTTGATGGGCCGGGCTGCAATGTCCTTCTTTTCATCTTGTTTCTTGGTGTATGAGGAAGAAGGGCTGATATCACCGGGATCTGGAGCAGATGAGACAACGGTTTGCACCTCGGACAAGGAGTTTACTGAGTAATCTGGTGGAGGCGTGATTTGCTCTTTGGCTTTCGTAGTAGTCTCGACAACACGTTCTTTGGTTGGTAGTACAGGATCAAGAGCTGGCTGTTCATGTGGCACTGCGGTAACTGTTCGTCAAACAAATCAAAAGAGGGTGGGAGATACGAAAACCTTACCATATGGGTACCTGCCAATAGAGTCTGGATGTTTCCTCCGGCGTCCCCCGCAACAACAACGAAGTAGACCAAAGAAGCCCATTTTGCTACTTATCCCGTCACGATCTAGTTACCCGACCAAATTGTAACTACAATAGTATGAACCCTTCTACTTGATCCAAACCACGAATCCCGGAAAACTCCCACTAGTTAAATACCCCAAGGCCAACCAATCCGCCTACACTCAGCCTTGCCCTTCTCAACCCCACGCGCCTAGTACACAGCCCCCCTCCCAAAACAACGGTCAAGCAAAGGGAAAGAAAGAAGAGTTCGGAAGCAATACTCCGCCCACAAGGCTCCTCAGCTAATCCAGTAAAGAAAAGGTCCGAAGGGGGGGGGAAAGGTGCTGAACAGCTCAAACTGCATTACTTTAGCGGTTAGACTCGCGGCCAGCGGCCATAGTAGCCGCCCGCATCTCCTCCTCCTTTCACAAGGGTAAGCGAGGCAATATCGGCTTGGCAATAACAGGCCCGTTTTCCCTCCCCCCCTAGACTTTCGCGGGGATGGCGGTTGCCGGATAGGGTGGAAGATCATCGATGCGTTTTTCTGTGGCTGGAGGGGAAGCCCAGGTGATTGTGGCTGTGAACACGGATTGGTGTCGGGATATGGGAGTTGGTGGGTTGTCTGGGGTTTGGAAGTCGGCGAGGAAAGGTGATTGTGACTGCATGGGTTCGGGGGTATGTCGGGGAGATGGTTTGGGGGCTAGAAAGGGAAGAGCGGGTGGGTTTGGTGGGCTTTGTGAGTTCAGAAAAATGGGGGGGTGATGAATAAGTAGGTAATTGGGATTGAGGTATTTTTTTGGCGTTTTTGATTATGCAGGTGTTTTTGGCTTATTTGCGAAGTTTAGTTTTTTTTTGAAAGCGGTTTATCAAACTCATGCGTTCATTGTGGAAGTCTACACAGCATCATGAGAAAATTCAGACCTCAGACATTCAGGCCAATTGAATATCTGCTTCATTAGTCAAGATTGATAGGGCCCTGGTCTTGGATAGATAGGCTACAGCCATTCCTTTTGGAAAATACCCACTGTGACTGAGCCACTGCATTCCTGCATCATACAAGCGCTGAAGCCTGGCTATAGCAAGTAGAAATCTTTTATCATGTAGGCAGCCACGTATGATCATTTCGGCGAGAAGAATGGTATTGTAATGGGAGGTGCGTTTCAAGATACGGAGGTGAAGCGCTTAAGGGGTCGTCAAGTAGGTCGTCCACATGGAGAGATACGATACCTATAGCTTCATCCCACCCTTGTTACACAATCGAATTGAAATTGGCACAAGGGCAGAGGGAAGCAAGGCATTCAGGCTGGGATATACGGTTTCCATGTTTATGATGCATAAGGCGTTTTTTGGTTGCAGCCTGTTGATATAGGGAGAAGGACCATGTTAAGATCGAACAGTGTAGCCTAAATGATGGACTTGTCAGAGATCAGTTGGGTTAACACTTGGAAGGCTGAATACTTCCAAGCAAGTGAACTAATCGATGCATTGGCTAGTGAGTTGTGTCGGTACAAGACTTTAGGAAGCCGATTGATTTGACAAAGTCTCCAATTGAACTAACATATCATGTGAACAGACGAATGAGAGTTCAGTAGGAAATGCATGTTGTGCTTCATTGGATCCAGTAATGCAAGATAAATCTTATCATGCCGCATCTCGGACATAAAGTTTTAACCACTATTACAACATCTTCAGTAGCAGTTGATGACCGTCAACTCAATCGCCACAACCTATGAATCAACACGTGTCCAGTCAAGAGCCTGAAGATTTGAGAGACATTAGCAAATACCTGGTTGCAGCCAGATTATATTCATGTACCGCACGTCATGGCGTTGTTGAGCGCCTTGGACGAGTGCCACCGCCCTTTGTCGGCAATGTGACCAGAGGGTCCCTCTGTATCGTTTGTGCTGCAAAAATTGAGCTCCAGAGAACTCCAAGGTAACGCGTTCATATTCTGGCATCCTGTGAGCTAGCCCGAGCTGCGGAAATGGGTTTGGTTGGGGAGCCAAGATTTCGGGATAGGTTTAGGACGAGTTTAGCCGTGTAACTGTTCTGATTCTAGCGCGTAGACTAAGATCCCGTAGACACTACATGGAGCACAGGGGCTCGGGAAATGAAACTGTTGAGACTAGGCTGTGGTTGTTGTTCTTCTTCTTCTTGAAAATGGAACGAATTGAAGATGGTATGATTTACAACCAGTGATGAGATATGCAATGCAGGTAAAAAATAGTGTGGCAATGTAAGCTACCATGCGGCTGCAGCTCGGGGATACGTAGATGCTAAAAGTCGGCACTTGTCTATTGAGCAATAATCGCAATAACATATTTTACGCTTGACGTTGCTCCGGACTTGAACATTGGCATGGCATGACAAACTGTCGAGATGCAACAATAGCCTTTGGTCGTGTCATGATCAATTCAAACATGGTGACCGCAGATGCGGGTTGTGGACGATGCGGCCGATGTCGGTAGCCAAACAAAGGCAGCGGCGCAGTACTGGGAGCACTTAGTCTGCTAGGTCTAAACTCCATGTGGGGAGTTGCCGTGCGTTTGACTGCATGACGGGCCCGGTTGACATTGCTCGTCAAGACGAGTCGTTTGTGCAACGTGGATGGGCACTCGACAAGGCTGAGGTGCATCTGTCCATGTTACTCAAAGGTTGATGGGGGCACACATGGGGCCTCTCGCGGTGAGATTGCATTCAGGCGTAGTCGACGAATCAAGCAGTGAGCCTGGCTGAGCCGGCTTTGAGGCAAATTGCTCGTAGATGGCGGCCCGACGCCAGATCTGAGGCAAGAGCGGGAAGAGTTGGTGGTACGGAGTTGTTGTGCACCAGTGCGGCGGTTTGATTGACGGGGCGATTGCTCAACAACAATACTTCTTTTCTGCTATCGGCGATGAGGCGTAGTGGTCATGAGCAACCATTACTTGCAAAAAACGAAACACAAGGCTCGAGAGATTCTGATGTAAGAATGGTAGAGACAGTGGGGCTCGGTATTTCTTCTGCACATGCAGGTGGTGAATGCGTGTCGAGCGGGCGGCAGCATGGTGGTGCGGTGATGGTCACATGACAGGAGCCAATAGGATGGATGCTGATTCCGGACGCGCTAAACGAGCATGCAGGTTGACGTACGAGGGGCGAATCGGGCCACGATAAATTGTGTAGCTGGGCTGGGCTGTTAGCTTACCCACACAACATGCGCCAAAAATGCAAGAAAAAAAACCCCCTCGTAGTTGTCGCTTCAGCCGCACGGTTTTCGGAGCGGCGTGGTCTGGCCACGAGGATGGTCGGGTTGCGGGACGAGATGAGTGGACGGCAGAGGGGGCAGGTGCTGAGCAAGAGGCATTTACTGCGAAGTAGACGTGTTTGCGAGGGCGATTGACACGTGCCTTGCAGCAGCAGCAGCATGGGGCGGAAGAGGCAAGGAAGGGGAGCACGAGCGTCATGGGGAGTGTGTGTATGCAACAAGGGCAGAAGCTGCAAGTTTTGCCCGTTTAGGCACACAGGTACACGGCAAGAGATTGGGCGTGTAACCCGCACCGAGCAGTCGTTCACACGCCGGCCGGTGGGCCGTGGCCGTGGGCGGATAGCGGTGTCTACGTATGAGCATGAGCAGCAGCAGCAGCACGAGCAGCAGGAACAGGAATGCGAGCAGGCGGTGCAGGCAGCCGGCCAAGGGGGGCAGCGTGCACAGAGGGCGGAGCAGCGCTTGGCTGTGGCCCGAGAGGGCATGGTGGGAGGATTGCAATGCGCAGAGCGGCAGTGGGGAACATGGGAGAGGCAGTAGAGGCATGCGAGGCATGAGAGGATTGGGAGGAGGAGAGCAGAGGGTGGCAGGCGTAGTATGCAGCGCCTGGCGACGCCAGGGCTCTGGGAGGCCCGGGCATTCGGCTGTAGACGAGGGGCGCTAGGATCAGGGCGCAAGAGAACATCAGCTGGCCATGGAGTGGAGCTGCACCACGAGGGCGGCGCCGGGGCGTCTGAGAGCCATGACGAGGCAGGAGAACAGGCGGCGGCGGCGGACATGGATGGCTGCGAAGCGATTGGCGATGCAGCACGATGCGATGTGATGTCGTCGGCCTGTTGGCCCAGCCGCTGTTCTCTTGTCGCTGTTCTCTTCCATCTCGACTCGGACGGGCGCCCAAGGCCAACCAACGCCCCTGTACCCGCCGTGCTTCCTGTGGCTGTGACGGCCAGCAAACCTTTTTTTCCTTTGTCCCCTTTTTTTTCCTTGTCGCCGGCTGTGGTTGGTGGGCAGCGGAGCAGGCAGGGCCGTGGGTGGTGGTGGTGGTGGTGGTGCTGCTGCTGCTGCATGAAATGGACAAGTCGGCAGCGTCAAAAAGGCCTTGGTCGTGTTGAGATGGGCTCGCTAAAGCAGCGGGGGCCCTGGATGGATGGCATGGACGGAGTGGGTGGCTGTAGGGATTTTCCCCTCGCCGGCTCGCAGCAGCACCGGCATTGGCATTGGCATCAGCATGGGAGGGTATGGGCATGGGCAGAGTACTTTTGGGCCTAGCAGCACGAGGGCCCTGGCATCAAACGGTCGTGTCGACACAGCGGCCACGCAACGCAGGCTCCTCTTTACCAACGGGCGGCGGCGGCGCCCTCTAGTCGATACAGTGGCAGGGCTCTGGACTCTGGACCGTTGTGCCTGGTCCGACTATAGCCATAGCAGTCGCAGTCGCAGTCGCAGTCGCAGTCGCAGTCAGTCGCAGTCAGTCGCAGCCACGGACACGGACAGGGACACGGACACGGCCAAGTGGGCGCAGCTTATTGTTGCGGGCGGCATGGTGGCATGGCGGCGAAAGGCAGGAAAATCTCATGCCTCACGTGCAGGCCGGCGTCGGCAGCTGCAGATGGTCATGTTGAGCCAGCGTCGTGTGCAGCACCATCGTCATCGTCACCACGGCCAATGTATGTACCATGGCGGGTGATGAGCACCACCCGACGACCAGCCCGTCAACGCCAGCACTGCCGCCGCCGCCGCCTCACGCCACGCTGCCCGCTGCTGCTGCCGTCGTGTCTGGCTGGTGTGTCTCTAGTGTGTCTGTGGTGTGGTGTGCCTGTCTGTGTGTGTGTGTGTGTGCGTGTGTGTCTATGGCTGTGGGTGTCGACACTGGAGGGGAGAAAAAACGAAGGCGACTGGCGACTGGCAACGCTGCTGACGTCTGTTTCAAGAACGACCGAACGCGCGCATGCTCCCTGTGTCTGCATGCCTGTCTGGCTGTCTGGCTGGCTGGCTGGCTGGCTGTCTGGCTGTCTGCTTGTCTGCCTGCCTGCCAACCTGCCTGCTACTCCTTTTCTGTGCCTGTTCCTCTCTCCGCCTCAGCTCCAGCTTCGATTCTGCTTCTACTCTCCTTCTTCCCCTCTGCACACGGCAGCCTTGTCTAGTAGTCTGCTGCTCCCCACCCCCTTCGTCCGTCCCTCATCCCTATCCACATCCACTTCTCTGCAACGCCCGCCTCTCCTGCAGGTCCATATTTCCTGCGCCAGATTTGCCCGCTTCTGTATGGTTCCCTTGGACCTAGCCGCTCCCTTACTGGCCTGCGCGCTGACAAGTACGTGAATTGCAGTCACGTTGACACCCAAACTAGCACTAGGACTGCTGCCCCGCCCTTAATCCCCAGCACTGCCGTCACTCAACCCCATCGTCGCCTCTTCTCGCTCCTTCACAAGCTGCATATCCTCGCCCTCAATTCTCCCTCTGCTGTCTCTGCCCAGCCCAGAAACTCCCTGGCCTCGTTGCTTGCCCATTGCTGCTCCGGCCACCACCTGCGCCTGCCCTGGTCGCTAGCTCCGTCAGCCACACCAGCGTCACCTGCTACTGCACAGACGGCACGCGGGACCACGCCCTCTTGACACTCGACCTCGCGCCTACTCCCTGTTGCTGCTGCTACTGCTGCTGCTCCTCAACCACCACCACCACCACCACCAACACCTCTGCCCATATCCACTACGGCTCTCCTCCACCACGCTCGCAAACCCTGCCATACCCTGCTCACCTACAGCCCGCCCCACTCCCGATAGCAATCCGCGCAGCGCTTGCGGACCCCCTCCCCTACGCATAACTCCAAACAATGAGCCAGAACCGGCCATCGGCCTTTTCCTCGCTAAGAATGGGTGGTAAGTAGTCGACCCCCTTCCATCCGCCATGTCAATTGCTCCCATGCTCACTCTCCCCTGCAGAAGTTATCCGCGAAAAGGTCCAAGACGGCTTGACCGGCGACTACAAGGACCTCGCCTACACGCAATGCAAGATCGTTGGCAACGGCTCCTTTGGTGTCGTCTTCCAGACCAAGCTGTCGCCTAGTGGTGAGGATGCCGCCATCAAACGAGTTCTCCAGGACAAGCGCTTCAAGGTGTGTGTTGCGCGTTGCCTTTTCCCCATTCCCCCCTTCCCCCCCTTCCCCCTCTCTCCCACATGCGCGCCTCTCCGGCTGACTCCCGGCTGACCACCCCAACAGAACCGTGAACTCCAGATTATGCGCATTGTCCGACATCCCAACATTGTCGAACTCAAGGCCTTCTTCTACAACAATGGCGAGCGGGTACGTGTCTGCAGCCAAGCGCGTCTGTGTCTGTCGTGTAGCTAACCGTTTCAGCCACAGAAGGACGAGGTGTACCTGAACCTTGTGCTCGAGTTCGTTCCAGAGACCGTCTATCGCGCCTCTCGCTACTTCAACAAGATGAAGTCGGTCATGCCTATTCTCGAAGTCAAGCTCTACATTTACCAGCTTTTCCGCTCGCTTGCCTACATCCACTCGCAGGGTATTTGCCATCGGGACATCAAGCCTCAGAACCTGCTGCTAGACCCCTCGACTGGCGTGCTAAAGCTGTGCGATTTTGGAAGTGCAAAGATCCTGGTCGAAAACGAGCCCAACGTGTCGTACATTTGTTCCAGGTACTACCGTGCCCCTGAGTTGATTTTCGGAGCCACAAACTACACGACCAAGATTGGTATGTGCATTTGATCAAGACTGTGTTGAGTGTGTGTGTGTGTGTGTGTATTTGTGCTAACTTGGCGTGTAGATGTCTGGTCTACAGGTTGCGTCATGGCAGAGCTGATGCTCGGACAGCCGCTTTTCCCAGGCGAGTCGGGCATTGACCAGCTGGTAGAGATCATCAAGGTGCTGGGAACACCCACCCGCGATCAGATCCGCACCATGAACCCCAACTACATGGAGCACAAGTTCCCACAAATCAAGCCTCACCCTTTCAGCAAGGTATGCTTGGTCTCTTGGTCCCATCCCAATTTGCTACGTCACACTTAACTCACACAAACTCGTCAGGTTTTCCGCAAGGCGGACCCTAGCGCCATCGATTTGATCTCCAAGTTGCTCGAGTACACTCCTACACAACGTCTCTCGGCCATCGATGCCATGGTCCACCCATTCTTTGACGAGCTGAGGGATCCCAACACACGCCTGCCAGACTCGCGTCACCCCAACGGGGCCACCCGCGATCTGCCAGAGTTGTACAATTTCACCCATCATGGTGAGCCTAGTCCCTCGACACTCTTGTCTTGCAGCACACAATGGCTAACCCATGCAGAACTCTCCATTGCCCCTCACCTCAACAGCCAGCTCATACCGCCGCACCACCGCGCGACACTGGCTGCCCGTGGCCTTGACTTCGAATCGCCCAGCTTCAAGCCATTAACCAAGGATCAGATGATGGCCAGGTTGGATTAAGCCATGCTTTCCGTCATTCGAAACGATAATATTTCTTCATGCGGCGACTTTTGATCCTCTCCGCTCCTGAGCACAAAGCTATTCCGTCCGGAGAGATGCAAAAAGGAGTCTCAAATGGGCGTCGGTTTTATCAGGTGTATACTACGAGGAGCGCACCCTTTTCTGCTTTGTCTGCGCGCGTCTGAAATGATACCGACATTCACGTTTACAAAGAATGACCTGGCTTACTTTTCTTTCGGGGCTTACTGGCCTTTTCGTTGACGCGAAATGATGGTGGGCCTGCACTGCAGATGATGTTCCTCAGTTGCCTTTGGACATGATGAATGGGCGCAAAAGGGTTGCACAATCAAAGGAATGGGGAGCTGGCAAAATTTGGGATGTACTGAGTATGAAAAGCTGACGAAGGGTCTCGCTCATCCGATTTCCGACGCTTCAGCATGGGTTTACGATGCGTCACCTGCCTTGCATGCGGGAGTTTTCTTCTTTCTTTGTTATTCAAGATCTATTCAATGGGCTGCACATGAGATGGTGAGGCTCATTTCGCAATTTGGACGGTTTTACCCTGACCCGTCGGAACGGCGATCCTGTGAGGAGAATGGCCTTTGCACTGAGAGCATACGGACTGGCAAATTTATGGCCGGCACTGGAACACCACTAGACCAAAGGATTGCATGTCTGCAGTGGAGCAAATGCTTACCTGGCAACGACTACCCCTGCTGTCTTACCTGCCTTTGCGCGTACTCCCTAAATGGATACAAGTCTCTTCATATTGTTGTACTGTTGATCTTTTTTTTGATGTCTTTTACGTGTGAATTTGACGTGCTATGAGCAAAAAAAAAGAGAATAGATGGGGTTTCCAAGTCAGTTCATCATATCTCATTTGGTAATTGCGTGCCTTTACCCCCAAACACAAACTCAGCCTCAAACAACGGCTGGGCAATGTAGTGAGAGAAGCAGCAAATTCTACACTAACTCACAATAGACTCTTGTATATTCTCTCACAGTCTACAAAAACCAAGTGAGTGTTAGATTGATTCTCCTGCTTCATCCGGTATACTCTCAACTGACGGGGAGAACTTTCTGCTGAACAAACTTGACCCTTTTCCGGACACAACAATACAATCTCAAGCCTAGTGCCTGCCCAGAATGCATGTTACCCCAAATGTCGATCCTCAAAAACACCTAGTTAACACCAGTTGGCCAAGCAATGACATGTCCATGCCCGTTGACGTCGAAGATGCATGCACGGAGCGCCAAGACAAGAGCTCAGATGGCACTAGCCTGTTTGGATCACAAGCTCTCGCGGATGCTCCAGAGCGACTTCCGCGCAGCAACCTCGACAATCCACTTTCGCGACCCATCCGCAAACATCGCAACCGAGTTGCCAGACGCCACGGCCGCCCTTCTGGCTTCCCCCACGGCGATTTCTACCGTCCCTACAGCCACACGTACAAGGACTACGACAACCCAACCAACGGCACACGCGCTACCTGTAATTCGAGGCCGCCGCGACACTGGGAATTCTCACCAGAGACATTGAAGCAAAAGGTTCACTTAGATCTTGTCGCAGCCATGGCGGATGCCGATTTCAAGGAGGAGCGCGATGATAGGCGCGAGGACCGACGTGACGATAGACGCGATCGCGGTGGTTATCGAGGGAACAACAAGCGTCGTCGTGACGGTAAGTCTACTTCTTTGTCTGCTGGCAAACTTGCGCATTCAGTATGCATAAACGAGATACTCATGAGATGCCTCATGACTGCAATGCCCATCAGGCTGTACTCTCCAACACACTGCTTTGTTCCGCGCATTGTTTCATCTTCAAATGACGGTGCTGACATGGTCGCGTAGATGACAACGACAACTACTACCGCGGTGACGACCGTCGTGGGCCCCAGAGACGCCGCCACGATGACGGCCCCCGTCGCCGATACGAAGAGCCCCCGTTCCCAAAACTAAGGAGACTGCTTCTCAACATTGCCAGCTCCACCAAGCTACCGCAAGACGAAGCCATTGAAATCGCAAAGTACTTTGGAGAGCACTTTGACGACGAGCGTCTCCGCTCAGACTTCTTCGATGTCCTAGTCCAGCTGTAAGCATTCCCATGGCTGCATGTCGAATCTCACTAACCCATCCTAGTATTGTCGAGCAACCCTTTAAGATTCCATTTGTTGCAGCCGTCGCCTACTACGCAAACGATGTCAAGCCAGAAATTACAATCGAGGCCATGAAGCGCGTTTCGGACAGAGCACAGGCAGCTCTCAACGCTGGAGAGTGGAAAGAGTTTAAACTACTTCTCAGGTTCTTTGCCTGTCTGCAGTCGCTGTATGAGGATGATGGTGTCTTTACTTTCCTTAGCCAGCTCTTCGACACGGTTGTGGATCTGCAGAGTGCCAACGAGAACGATGTAAGCAGTCTGCAAAGCACATGTTGTCCCTTGCTAACAAGTTCAGGTTGTTGGTATCGAACTCGTCAAGATCATTCTCCTTACCATCCCTTACGCACTCGTAGCTGGAGGAGAGCGCTTCCATGAGCAAGCAAGGCAACTGTTGAAGAACACAGGCATTGTGGCAAGCAACATGGTTCCCATCGAAAGCCTTATCCACTCGTACGTTGGCGATTTTGAGTCAAAGCCAGTCAGCTACAATAGCGTCATTGGCCTCCTCCAGGCGCAGCTTTCGGCTGAAGCGGATTCTGGATTCGAGCTCAGGTGTATTCCACGCGTTGACCCCGAGGCACTACGTATTATGAACGCCAAGGAAGAAGACGCTTTGCCCACAGCTCCTCAGACGCACACTTTCCCCACATTTACCATCCCATCTCCTGTCAACCCTGGCCCGAGGCCTGTCTTCCCCGAGGCCTACTTTTCCCTCTTCGCTGACCAAGAAGTCGATACCGTACCCAAGACGACTGATATTGCGTCATCTCTTGTACGCGATGCTATCGTTGATACCATCAACCAACTTGACTTCAACCGGGAGATGGTCGCCAAGTTCCTCGTCGATGTGGACTGCTACTGGTCTGTTGACATTTTCGCCAAGCGTGGCTCGCCCTTTGATAAGTTCCGTGAGCTGGTCGGTGACAAGATCCAGTACAAGTCTGAAGATATGATCATCGACGCCATCTTCTCACAACTGTTCAAGCTGCCCAGCGCCGAACACAAGCTCGTCTACTACCACTCGCTCATTACTCAGTGCTGCAAAGTTGCTCCCGCTGCCATTGCACCATCACTTGGAAGGGCCATCCGTACGATTTACAAGAATCTGCCCATGATGGATCTGGAGTTGAGCTATAGGTTTCTCGACTGGTTCTCGCACCATCTCAGCAACTTTGAGTTCCGATGGAGGTGGACTGAATGGTATGTTTAAGAGGGTGTGTGTTGTAGAAACGTGCTAACAACATCAGGCTTGACGATCTCGAGCTTTCGAATCTGCATCCGAAAAAGGCATTCATTCTTGCTACTTTGGACAAGGAAATCAGACTGTCATTTGCAAAGCGCATCCGTTCAACTCTGCCAGAGCCTATGCACGCTTTGATTCCCGAGCGTCTGGATGCGGACAATAGTCCCGATTTCAAATACGACAACCCAGGTATGTACGCATTAGACGTGAATGCGAACGTGGCTGACGCTAGCTTTAGATACTCCATACGCTGTTGAGGGTCAGACCTTGCTCAACCAGCTGAGGAAGAAGGCTACAGCAGAAGAAGTGCAAGTTACAATTGATAGCATCCATGAGAAGGCTGTCGCGCAAGGTGTTGGAGAAGTTCTCGTGCCTTCAACTGATGCTTTTGTCACCGCCATCTGCCGTCTGGGTGCCAAGTCGCTGTCCCACGTTCTGTCTTGCATTGAGCGAGGCAAGGACCGCCTCCTGGAAATCTCTCAGAATGAGACTGCACGCCGTCAGATTGTAGCCAGTGTGGTGGAGTACTGGAAAGACCAGCCTGGTGTCGCCGTCCGCATTATCGATATCCTGCTCAACTATACCATTCTTGCGCCAATGACGGTTGTTCAGTGGGTGTTTGGTAGCCACATGGGCGCTGGAGAGGCTTTGACTGAGAGTTGGGTTTTCGAGATGGTGTCCAACACAGTCGCCAAGGTCACCAACCGCAACCGCCAGATCGCATCCGCCCGTCTTCAAAAGGGTCTTCCGCAGGAACAGATTGAAATGGTTGAAGCTACACTAGCCAAGGACAGAGACAACGCCCGGGAACTGTTCAAGTACATTGAGGACTCTACGCGCGGTGTGGCAGAGGGTTCTGCCGACACAATGCTTGAGAAGTCTTCCAGCGGTGCGTTGACCGAAGAGGAAGTTGAACTCATCAAGTCCTGGGGCAAGCGCTGGCACACTGTCTTTATCCGTAAGGCTCAGGTTGAAGAATCCGTCGTCGGCGAAGAGGCTGTCGAAGCAAGGATCAAGCTTCTTGCTTCTGAGCCTGACCCTGTTCCTGAGAGCATGGAGCAGGATGGTGAAGGTGTCGCGGATGCCACGAACGACGACGTGAAGATGTCTCTTCCCTAGCTGGATGAAGCCCACAGAGTTCGATATTGGCGACTAGCAAAAAGGCATGTGGATAGACATCAACATTTGCAACGGCGTATTGGTGTGTATGGGAATCTGCATATATGCTCACCTCACGTGACGTCGCGTGATGTGGAACATGCAGAAGCAGAATATAGTCTATCTGCGTAGTTTGTATTATAGCCATATATTTAAAGAAATTTGACGAAATTCGTCTCACATACATGCATGCATCTGCGTTTGAGTATGATGTGTAGTAGTTGGCTGAGGCGCTATGGAACAGGATCAAAACATGAGTATCCCGACTAGAGGGCTCTGCCGCAATGAGCATAGCATGTTCCTTGTCAGCACTAGGCACGACAAACCTGTTAAACTCGTGCAAAAGACAACATTATCAATGGGCCTCTGATGATGCACAGTGACTGCTAGCGCGTAGCATGTCGATGGTGCATTTGAAGCTTGGACCGCAGCCTCGTCATGTGAAAGAAGTTGGAGAACCTTGCAAGGTCGTCGCGGCATACGGCGGCACCAAAGAAATGCAGCCCACCGCCAACATTCGGGCCGGACAGTATGTCACCTTGTATTCCATGCGTTTTGTAGTTCCCGTATAGTATCTGAACGCAATAACTTCTTTCACCAACCGCACCTAAGCACACGGGCGTGCGTTACCACGGTCGGCGCTGTTCCCTCGGCTGGTCCATCGTATTCCGCGTTACCCTGCTTGGGCCCAGCCTGCACCTCTCGACGCGATGCATATACCCTCCAGCTACGTCACTGCTGGCTCAGCGACGCCGGCATCCACGCACACATCGAGCATAATACTCCTTAATGGCTTATCATGGTTTTCAAAAGAGACGGGCGACGGTGACAGCGGCGGTGGTGGTGGTGGTGGTGGCATTAGCTACCCGGAGAACTGGAGCAGTCTTATCGGCATCGTGACGGCGATAGTAGGCAACGTGCTGATATCGTTTGCGCTCAACATGCAGCGGTACGCGCACATCCGGCTGGATCGCGAGTGGCAGGAGAAGGAGCGGCAGCGCAAGAGGAGGAATGCGTCCGGGCTGAGCTTGAACCGCTTGAATGAAGAAGTGACAAAGTTTGGCGGCCGAAGTAAGGATCAGCAGCAGCAGCAGCACGGAAATGGCACCGCAGACCAGACACATGCGCCCGATGCGAATATCTTTGAGGCGACCGAGTCGGATCCCCTCGTTGCGAACTCGCGCTCGCAGTCGAGACCGGGCGTGGAGAGGGGCGACAGCGCGGGATCAGGGCCGGACGAGGAGGTCTACAAGCAAAAGTCGTATCTCAAGTCGCCGTACTGGTGGTTCGGCATCATTCTCATGACGGTGGGAGAGGCAGGCAACTTTCTCGCATACGGATTTGCGCCTGCGTCCATTGTCTCCCCGCTCGGTGTCGTCGCACTCATTTCCAACTGCATCATTGCGCCGTTTATGCTCAAGGAGCCGTTTCGCAAGCGGGATGCGCTGGGCGTCATTATCGCTGTCGGAGGCGCCGTGACGGTCGTTCTTTCGGCAAACGATAACAATCCAAAGTTGGGGCCTGGCGAAATTTGGGATTTGATCAGGCGATGGGAGTTTGAGACGTATCTTGGTATCACTGTTGGTGTGATTATCGTCTTGATGGGCGCTAGTAACAAGTATGGGGATAAGAACATTTTGATTGATCTGGGACTTGTAGGGCTGTTTGGTAAGTTTGTTTTTGGGCATTCAGTCTGTCCATGTCTGCAATGCGGTGACTGACTTTATTCAAGGTGGATATACAGCGCTCTCAACCAAAGGTGTTGCGTCGTTGCTTTCATATACGCTATGGCGGGCCATTACTTTTCCAGTCTTCTATCTACTGGTTACTATTCTCGTTGGTACTGCAGTCATGCAGATCAAATATGTCAACCGTGCACTGCAGCGCTTCGATGCCACCCAGGTCATTCCCGTCCAGTTTGTTCTCTTCACTTTGTCGGTTATTGGTGGGTCGGCAGTGCTCTACCGCGACTTTGAAAGGACTTCAGCGCAGGATGCAGGGAAGTTTATCGGTGGATGTGCCTTGACCTTCTTTGGCGTTTGGCTGATCACGAGCGGACGACCTCCGCAGCACAATGAGGAAGATGACGAGCCAGATCATGATGCAATGTATCTGGCAGGAGAACGTTATACGGATGATGTGGATGATACAGGCGACGATATTGCTCAAAGTACGCGATCGACGTCGCGTCCACTTTCACCACCTATCAACATTCCTTCTCGCTACCGCGATGACGACTCGCGCCCATCAACACCAACCATTGTGGTTATACCCGACCCAGTAACCCCACCAAATCCCGTTCGCTCAGTCTCTGCCGACATCATGTCTTCTCTAGTCGCAAACCCATGGACCCAACCCAACGAACCCGAAGATCGAACACCATCACTTAACCGCCACACCTCAACCCCGGTCCTACCATCCGAAGCCGCACCCTTACCCTTGGCCTCAACCAGCGACCCCGAACTAGGACTTCCCTGGACCCCGACAAGAGGAAAATCCCAAACCGACATGCCCACCACCCCTGGCTCCCAACTCCGTCGTCTGCGCACCGTCGACCGCCCGCAGGGCACTCGCAACAGCATCGCCGGCCCCCTCCTCGCCAGCCCGCTCAGCACCAGCCTCAGCACCATGGTCCAAGACCTCAAGCGCGGAGCCAGCGTCCGCTACCGCGACCCAGACGACTCCATCCGCCGCCGCGGTAGCGTCCTTGGCCTCGGCTCTTCCTCGCACGATGCCGCCGCCGCCGCCACTGCTGTCGATGACGGCGCTATGATGGGCGGCGGTACGACTACGAGTGAACCGCTGAGTCGCCGCCAGACGCGCGATAGCCAGGCTGGGCCGTCGGAGGGCGCGGTGACTGCGAGGACAGGCAGGGGCAGGAGTCTTAGTGGAACACTGAGTGAGCTTTGGAGGGGGTTGGGCGGGAGGGGGAGTAGGGAGGATATTAGAGGTGAGGCGGAGCGGGAAGAGAGAGGTAGTTGAGGTGAAGGGTTTGGATGGTTTTTTTTTAGAAGTATAGAATAGAGGAATAGTATTTGAGTGGATATTAAATGCATTGCGAGCTTTTTGTTTTGCACTATTTTGAATCTTGTCTTTTTTTGTTCTTTGACGATGCCAACTCGGGTGTTCCTACTATGCCATTTTTTTTTTCGTTCTCAAAAGTCTGTTTTGTGGTGTCGAGTTTGCAGATTTGAGAGTTTTTCCATGTCCGAA